ACCAATCTGAGAGGTCTTTATAAGGACTAAAACGTGGGTTTGGTCAATGGCTTAGCAAAAGGGACTCTTCGAGTCGAGGCTATTGAAAGAATTGATATCACCAGCTGCTCCGGGTTTACAAGTCAGGAATGCTGCAAAAATAAGATAGAAAAATCTTGCTCGCACTTCTTCGAGCAACATTTATAAGCATTTGAAACTCTACGTTAACTCAAGTGCCCTATTCTGAAGAGACTTCGGTAAGGGTTGTAACGTAGGTTCGGGTAGGCTTGAAATGAATGGCTTATTTCATCAAAGGGGGGGTATTATGAACAAGGAGATTGGTGATCATCCAATTATGCTACTGGTACCATTGACCTATCTCTAGCAATTGCTCCACAAATGAATCTTCAAATGGTCTTTTCCTTGAAGACTGATCTTGTATGTCGACTCAGTTCTTGCTGAAGCTTTTCTTTCCTTCCTTTTTCTCTCTCTCTCTTTTTTTTTAGAGAGATTTTCTTTTCGAGAGATTTTTCCAAGAGAGAGAACTTCAATTTAATGGAGTCCTTTTGCGTCATTTCTGATGAATTTTCTTTCTAACTCCCATTTGCCTCAAGTCACCTTGAACTTGCTTTGAGATGATTTCATTTGTTTATCACCAGAATGATCACCAATCGGATTGAAATGAATTCACCGCTCAAATTGGGTATGCAAAGGGTATAATGTGTAGGGATATAGAAAGAAATGCTCTTCGTCATATCTAAGGCACTCGAGCTAACACAAAACTTGCATGCAATAAATATACTTGAAGATTGATGCAAGTGAAAGCAAGAAAATTCTAACCATTTTGAACTTTGTAATAAATTGCCCCGGTATGGGGTTGTTTCTGACAGGGTAAGAAATGAAACTTCGTTCAAAGGGGTTAAGCAAATGATAACCTGTAGTATTTAGATAGAGGAAATGAATGCCTCTCATCATTTTGATCGTCCTACTTTTCGTCAGATAATCCTTTACCTTGTCAGCACGGAATTTTCACTCAACTCGCACTAGGGATTATTATTCAGAACATGTATGGAAATGTCTTACTTTTCGTCATCTTGAAGTCTCTCATGCAATATGATCGCTTCATTAGGACAGAAACAGATTACCAAATCAAAAGCCTTCCTCAAACAAAACTTGATAACATAAATTGATTCATGAAATTCAACTTGAAACTTGATAGAAACAAAGTCAGAATGAGTACAAATCAAGTGTAATACTTCTTTACAGAATTAGAATTAACTGGACTAGAAAAAACACGACCATTCATCTCGGCCAAAATCAAAGCACCTCCTGGAAGGACTTTCTTCACAATGTACGGGCCGCCATAATTTGGGGCGAATTTTCCTCCTGCAAGAGGAACTATCGGCAATAACTTCCGCAGGACAAGGTCACCTATCTGAAAATTTCGAGGCTTGACTTTCTTGTTGAAAGATTTAGCAACTCGTTGTTGGTAGCACTGGCCATGACATAGAGCTCTAAACCTTATTTCATCAATCATGTTCAACTGGTCCAACCTCTGCTGGATCCAATCTGCTTCTGACAATTGTACCTGTGAAAAAATACGTAACGAAGGAATTTGAACCTCAACAGGTAGAACTGCTTCCATACCGTACACAAGAGAATATGGTGTTGCCCCTGTAGATGTCCGGATAGAAGTCCGATATGCCATAAGTGCAAAAGGTAATCTCTCATGCCAATCACGATAGTTCTTAGCTGTTTTAGCCAAGATTTTCTTGATATTCTTGTTGGCTGCTTCGACCGCTCCGTTCATCTGCAGACGATATGGAGAGGAATTCAGATGATTGATCTTGAACTCCTTGAACAGATCATCCACCAATTTATTATTTAGATTCGATCCATTGTCAGTAATTATGGTCTCAGGTGCACCATATCGAACAATGATGTCTCGACGAATGAACTTCACCATATTCCGGGCCGTCACTGTTGTATAGGACATAGCTTCGATCCACTTCGAAAAATAATCGATAGCGACCAGGATAAACCGATGTCCATTTGACGCTTTAGGATTAATTGGGCCAATCACATCAATGCCCCACATAGAAAATGGCCATGGTTCAAACATTTAATGCAATTCATTCGGAGGAGTTTTAATCTTGTCACCATGGATCTGGCATTTGTGACAACTCCGGACATGCTGAATGCAATCACTCTCTAAAGTGAGCCAGTAATAACCCATCCTCATTATCTTCCTTACTAGCATATGACCATTCATGTGTGGACCACATACTCCCTCATGTACTTCTAGCATCAAATGAACAGCCTCGGTTGAATCAACACACCTTAATAAAACCGAATCATAAGACCGCTTGTATAAGCATTCTCCGCTCAAGAAGAACTTCGACGCCATTTTCTTGATATATTTTTGGTCAGATGCGGTACTTCTCTCAGGAAATTCCTGTGTTTGAAGATATGCCTTGATATCATGATACCACGGCTTGCCGTCGGGCACCTCTGTCAAGGCCATACAATAAGCCGATTTCTGTAAGTCCTCTATCTTCAAAGGTTCAACTTCTAAACCACTTGTCACTCGTAGCATTGCCGATAACGTAGCCAGAGCATCGGCAAAACTGTTTTGAGTCCTTGGCAAGTATTCAAACGAAATGTCTTCAAACTCTTCCACCAACTCCTCCAGATAGACGTGATAAGGCTGTAACTTGGCATCTCTAGTTTGCCATTTACCAACGGTCTGAAGAATAATGAGGGTTGAATCCCCGAACACCTTAAGTCGAGCTACTCCCATTTCAATTGCAGCTTGTAACCCGAGGATGCATGCTTCATATTCGGCGATATTGTTCGTACAAGGAAATATCAATTTCGCTGCGACCGGATAATGCTGTCCGCCTTGAGATATTAAAACTGCCCCGATACTTGATCCTGACAAGTTTACGGCTCCATCAAAATACATGGTCCATACATACTCATCAATTGGCATGACTCTATCTTCTAACGGATCCAGATCCTCATTTTTCCCAGGATTTTCAGCCAAGACATCAGCAATTACTCGTCCTTTGACTGATTTCTGAGACACGAATTGAACATTAAATTCTGAGATGAGAATCTGCCATTTTGCCAGTTTTCCAACCAAAGCGGGTTGATTGAGCAAGTATTTGATGGGATCACACTCTATCACAAGCAATATCTGATAGTGCAAAGTGTATTGCCTCAATCTGTGTAGTACCCAAACCAATGCTGCGCACGTTCTTTCTGCTTCGGAATAATTCATCTCAGAGGCGGTGAATTTCTTACTCAAATAATAAATCGCACGCTCCTTTCCATCCTCTTCACTTTTCTGAGCAAGCATGGCACCTAAGGATTCACTGTGGATTGTAAGGTACAGGATTAGAGGTTGCCTCGGCATTGGTGGAACAAGCACTGGCGGATTCATCAAGTAGTGCTTAATCTTGTCGAACGCCAGTTCACACTCTTCATCCCATCTAACCAGCGCATTCTTCTTGAGAAGTTTAAAGAAAGGCTTCGCTGTCTCAGATAGCTGAGAAATAAATCTGGCAATATAGTTTAGTCTGCCCATTAAGCTACGAACTTCCTTCACCGAAGAGGGAGATTTTATTTCACAAATGGCCTTCACTTTTGACGGGTCAATCTCAATCCCTTTCTTACTAATAATGAAGCCAAGTAGTTTGTCAGAGGCTGCCCCGAACACGCATTTTGCCTGATTGAGGCGCAATTTGAACTTACAAAGCCTGTCAAATAATTTCGTCAAGGTTTCTATGTGATCTTCTCCATGTCGAGTTTTTGCAATCATATCGTCAACATAGACCTTGATCTCATTATGCATCATGTCGTGGAACAACGTGACCATTGCCCGCTGGTAAGTTGCCCCAGCATTTTTGAGATCGAAGGGCATCACATTGTAATGAAATGTCTCCCAAGGAGTGGTAAATACTGTTTTCAACTTATCATCCTCATTCATCAAGATCTGATTATAACCTGAGAAACCATCCATGAAGGAGAATAGTTCGAATCCAACTGTATTGTCCACAAGCACATCAATGTGTGGGAGTGGAAAATCATCTTTAGGACTAGCTTTGTTCAGATCTCGGTAGTCAACACATACTCGAACCCGACCATCTTTCTTCATCACTGGGACTATATTAGCGACCCACTCTGAGTATTGGGTAGTCTCAATAAATCCCACGTCAAGAAGCTTCATGATCTCTTCCTTGATCTTCTTTGCCAGTTCTAGCTTAACTCTTCGCGGCCTTTGCTTCACAGGCTCAACTGAAGGATCAGTCGATAAACAATGTTCGACAATCGATCGATCGAGACCCGGCATATCAGCATAAGACCAGGCAAAGATGTCTTGATAATCCTTCAACAACTGGGTCAAGCGTTTGGCCACATCTTCAGGAAGACATGCCCCAATCTTCACCCCTCTAGGATTCTCCGTGCCGCCAAGGTTGATCACCACGGATTCTTCGGCGGTCAGAGGCTTAGATTTCTCATGGATTTCCAAGTTCCGTCGTATCTCTTCATCATTCGGATTAGAATCATCTGAGTCATCGGATTGGGTTGCATCACATATATGAGGATCCATGATTCCCGTCCCTTCGCATGCCTCGAGATTAGTCCGTAGATGACAAATTTTTCCAATCGTTGGTTATTGTCATTGGGTATTATGAGGATGAAGGGGATCCGTGGCAAATTACCTGCAAAAAGCAACAGTGGAATAAATACGGCAAGTAAGAATAACGAGTCGGTTCATGACATCCTCTAGACCCTCAAGACGAAATTTCTTTCGAAAGACCGATTCATCCAGTAAATTCCGAAATTTCGAATTGCTTTATTCAATAAAAACCTGGACTGATTCCAAAATTTAGCTTAATGTTTCTCATTGAATTGCCCAAAAAGGAAGATGACTCAAAAGAATTCTTAGAAAGATCGTCCAGTAACATTTATTACCAAAAAACATCAATAGCATGAAGTACAAATATAAGCTAACATTCCATCCTAAAAAGAAAGAAAAACTCCCTAAACCAAACTAGAAATCAGATAGTCTTCCTCTTTTTAGAGGCCACGTGATCTATAGACGAATGGGCCTTCAATGCACGCAGTAATCGTGCATTCTCTTCAGCCAGAGCATCTGCCTTATCCTTGGCCTTCATCGCCTTTTCTTCACTGATTTTGATTTGAGTCTGAAGGGTATGCCGTACTGTCACGACCGGGATCTTCGGGAATATCTCAGCAAGGATGGTATGATGTTGAATATACCGGGCCATGGTAAAGTGACTTCTCATCCTTCCGGTGGGCTCATCCGCGGGCCAAATCAACTTCTGAGTGGAACAATTCTGCCAAGCCTCAGAATGACGCCTAAGCTCGACTCTGTAGGACTCGTCCTTCTCGAATTGGACTTGAAATTCATTGGGCTTGAGTTGAGGTGGGACATCCTGCAGAACTCGGAATTGACGTGTAACCCGAAGAGGCTGATAGCTGGTTGCCCCATAAATGCCCATCAAAGGTACGGGCTTCTGATCGCCATGGTATAGTCGAGCCTCAACCTCCCGAAACCACACAGCTTGCTAAAGGAAAATCTTAGAGCTTGGATCCTTGAACAGATGGACCCATTGTGTATAGTGCAAGCTCTTAGTTTGATCTTGTATTTGTTTGAACCTTAAAATAGGGTTATCAGTCATGTTCATTTCAAATATAGTCATATTTTCTCCAAATTGAGAGAGGTGTGAGAAAAGCCAGATTTGTAAAAGCTCAATCGGGGCTCGAAAAGTTCTATCTTTTCCTTTCTTAAATCGTGTCAGAGATATGAAGGTCTCTGCCAGAATTGTGTTTATAAAACTAACTCCACCACATATTAGTTTTACCGTCCAGGCTATCACCGGATCAATAGCGTTTTGACGGAATGGAAAAATGATGAGTCCGAAAAAAGCTAAGATAAAAATTTTAGACCTTATGAGGACGGAGTTATTTTCAAAACATTCAATAAGAAAAGATAGCGGGCATGCTTGACAATTACCCTTTAACACTTTTTCAATTTCCTTTTTAGTCAAATTCAAAAATTCAACAAGCACTACCACAAGATCTACCTTAATGGGTGGTTCGATTATATCCAACTCAATCGATTTCCCAATGGCAAAACTGTATTCTTCCAGAGTCGGTGTGAGCTCAAACTTACCTCCCAACACAAATGTGGTCGTCTCGGGGCACCAAAAATGAGCGAGTGCCTGCATGATCCCGCTCTGAACATCTATGTCCAGGATTGGCAGCATGAATCCAATGCGTTTGAGAACGTACTGCTGACCATCTGGCTTCAACTGGCTCCATAACTTCTTGAGCTCTAGCTTCGGAGTAGGCACGAAACGGATATTAAGGCGACCCATTCTTATATAGACCACGTGCCAAATGAATCAACCTAAATTCATGGACCGACTCAAAATAAGATGAAGAAAATCAAAGATAATCAAAGATAAAGCTCGAGAAATTACCGTCTTTGGGGAGAAAATGTCAATCACAGAGACATGCACATGGATCGTGAGTTTAAACCTTAATCTATCTATCCTAAAGGCTTTGGCAAAATGAAATGATGAACGGAACGACATGTCGCAGCCTCGCGCATAATCATCATGACTAGTCGCAGCCTCGCATACAATAGTCATGACTAGTCGGGTCCAATCACTTCGGCTCGGTTCGGTCGACAAGGTTAACCTCCATGCATTGTAGCCTCAAGTGCATGAGGGCGACCCTTGAGCCATTTTTTGAAAAAATTTTGGGATCCAAATGGGATAACCTTTAGCGAAGTCTTACCGCTAAGGTTAAAGAACCATTTAAATACCATCTTAAAACTATGGGTGTGACCCAAGTCCGGTCACAAGTTGTGTGTGGTGTAGTGCAAATACTGTAAATCATGCACAACAATTATAAGCAAACAACGCTTCAATAGTGCAAAAATTAAATCACAATTCCACCAAACCTGCAAAACAATGGGTTAGCCAATCACTATTCCCCTTATAACTCCCATCCTGCAAAACCATTTAACACCTAAAAATGAGAATTCAATCAAATTTTGTCAAATCGAGTGATTTTTCCATAAAAATTTTTGGCCTAAGTCCTCCTTAAAATTTTTTTTAAAAAAATTCAAGTTTTCCCGAGCGGAGTCGCCAAGCTGTTGCGACCTAACAAAAATCAATCGGGTTTCGATCTTAGGCTAATGGATTACTAGGTCAATTAAATTAACTAACCTAGCTCGAGTTCTCCCAAACTCTACCAAATCGCAACTTAAGTCCAATTGTGAGAAAGCAAATATTTTCAATGGGAATCGCCACTAATCATTTAGGGCAGGTTCATTAGAATCCTAAATAAAATAGCGGGAGTACTATTTTATTTCTACGAACCAGAAATTATAGATTCGGGGACTTGGTTGCGCTAAATTCCTTAACACCCTTTCGGTACCAATTTCAGGAAAAATATTCAATTTAACAATTTTGAAAAGATTCTGACTTAAAGTTCAAAGGTGCAGAAATTTCTTTTTGATTTTCTTTTATTTAAATGGAAGCTAACCTATATGTAATGACGTGCAAAAAATTGACATGCGTTAATGCAACCTAACATGCAAACTATATGTCATGCGACGACGTGACCTATTTCTAACGACGGGCATATTAATTTTTTTGTATTTTTCTTTAATGAAATTCGGAATTAAAATGTCAATTATCTAAACAGGCAATTTTAAACTAAAGAAATTAACCTATTCTAGAGTAATCTTTTTGGTATTTATTTTTATCGAAATTCGAAATTAAAATCCAGTAAAAACATATAACCGCTAAATCTTTCGAATTAAGTTTCGATCTGAAGCCTAACAGATCGATCCTAAAATTCGAAATACCCGCTATGGAAATAACTCTATCTAAAGCCTGATAGATAGATTTATTTCCACGTGTGCGGTTGCGGATTAGGAAATTTTCCTAATCGATCACATCTTGAAAAAATTTAAATATCTCAAATATCTTGGATATATTCAAAGGATTTTGAAAATTCTAAATTCTATCCAAATTTGATAAGATCAGATATCCAAGATTTCCAAAAAAAGAAATAAATCTTAATTGAAATATGCTTATTACTTGAATATGCAAAATTAGATATCAATAAGCACAAATTAGGCAACAAAATATTCAAATCAAATCGGGATAAGATAATTACCTGATTTGCAGATTTCTTTCCTAATTTGAATTTGCAGCAGATCGGGATTGCGGATCGGGATGGTGACCGGCGGCGGTGCGTCGGCAGCGGTGGCGCGATGTCGGGAGTGGCGGCGACTCGCGGCGGTGACACGGCGGGGACAGCGGCGCGGCGGGCGTCTCCGGGCAGCGGTGCAGCGCTGCGGGGACAGCGGCGGTGCAACGAGCGGCGTCGGCGTCTCCGGGGCAACGGCGCGGTAGAGGCAGCGGCGCGGCGATGGTTGGCACAGTGGGAGCAGTGCGGACGGCAGTGAGGAGAGGTGCTCGTTGAGAGGAGACTGAGTTGCTAGATCTGTTGGACTGAACACCAGGAGCAACGACGGAGACTGGAGAGATCGTCAGAAGCTCGCCTATGCTAGGTGCAGAGACCCACTGGTGCACTCGTGGCCGCCTTGGGGATTCGCTTGAGTGGTTGACGCTCGTCGGAAGGATTACCAGTGGGATCTTCAATCTTCAAGGACACCTCAATGTCTCCCTCGGTTCCCACTCATGATCTCTCTTCTCATGTGTGTATAATGGCCATCTACAGTAAAGTGGTAGCCGTCCTCTCCCTCCCACTTTCTTTCTTTCTCACGTTTTTTCCTGACTTTTCTCTTCTGTCTCGTGTATTGCCTTTGACCAAGAAAAATTTGTGCTTCAATCAGTGCCGACCTTCAGAACCTGCGGGAAGAACAGAAACTTTTTCTCTCTTACTCTTGCTCTCGCTCACGTGTGTCTCTCGTGCTCTCAAGAATTGTGTTCTCAAAATTATGAGAGCCCTTCTTTGATTATGATGCATAACGACATATTTATATCGCAACCCTAGGTTAATTAGCCGGGCTTCCTAGTCCTAATGGGCTTAGACTTAGGCTTTAATTTAATTGTAAGTGGGCTGAATTAATTTGTGCTTTTCTTTAATTAAGCATAATGGGCTAATTTAAGCTCAAATTAAGACAACCAAGCCCTTTTGCTTGTGATTTTCGGCCCATGCTTTTCGAGTGAGCCGAGTCTCGTTCGGTGCCCGAGCTCGATTTACGTGATGAATTTTAAGCTCGCTTACCACCGCCAATCCAATGCGGAATGCAATTAATCTATATGAACCTAAACTATATGCTATGCAATTTTAATATTTTTGTTTAGGGGTTAAAATTTAATCCCTAATTTTCTATGCAATTAACCACTAAATGATGCGCCGAAATTTAGGTGTCAACAAGCAAGAACATTCTTTTTTTCTCCATAGGCACCTTTGCTATCAACTTATGAGAATCATCTCTCAAAAGAAGGCAACGATCTTTCAAGTGAATATCATATCCCATCTCAAGTAATTGTCCCAAACTTAGAATATTAGACTTCAAAGTAGGAACATAATAAACTTGAGATATCAAAAGATGACTTCCATTTTTTGCACGGATTAAGACATCACCTTTTCCTTTGATTGGGGCTTTAGTATTATCTCCAAAGATGATGTTGCCATTCACCGCCTCATTAAGAGTTAAGAATGACTCTATGTTGCCACTCATGTGATTTGCGGCACCGGTGTCAAGATACCATTCTCCTTTCTCTCTTTCTTCATTCGTTGCCAATAACAACAATGTCTCGTCTTCTTCTTCTTTAAGTTCAATATAATTGACCTTCACTTCATTGTTTGTAGTGGCACTCCTACATTCATTAGCATAGTGCCCAAATTTGTGACAGGAATAACATTGAATATTAGTTTTATCATACCTTCTCCTTTCACCTCTATTGTAGCCATAATTTCCACGTCCTCCTATTTGAAAGCTTGACCTTTCATTGATGGAACGTTGGTCTCCGCTCCTTCCACGACCACGACCAAAGTTTCCTCCACGGCCATGACCATGACCACGACCACGATCACGGCCACGATTTTGACCTCTCCCATGAGACCATTCTTGCTTTTTCACTTGATCTCCCAAAGAGACCTTAGTTTGGAGTACTTGGGTCGCCGGCTCTCCCTTCTTCTTTAATCTTTCTTCATATGCTTGCAATGACCCCATGAGCTGATCAAGGGTCATAGTCTTCAAGTCATTGGATTCCTCAATGGCAACACCAACAAGATCAAGCTTTGAGTCAAGCGATCTAAGAATCTTTTCAATAACACGAACATCATCAATATTTTCGCCATATTGCCTCATTTGATTGGTTACGGAGGATACTCTGGTGAAGAAATAAGAAACGGATTCGGACCCCATCATATGTAGAGATTCGAACTCACCACGTAGAGATTGAAGACGTACCCTCTTCACCTTTTTAATTCCTTTGAAATTATTTTCTAAAATATCCCAGGCTTCTCTAGCCTTTGATGCGGAAGCAACTTTCTCGAACATGGCTTCATCCAAGCCCAAGTGAATAATAGAGAGGGCATGTTGATCACCTTTACGAAGCTTGTTCAACGCGTTCTTTTGATTTTGATTCAAAGCCGCTTCATCCTCCGGTTCATCATAGCTTTTTTGAACAACTTCCCACACGTCTTGTGAGCCAAGCAACGCCTTCATGCGAATGCACCATTGCCCATAATTTTGTTTCGAAAGCTTGGGAACAGCATAAGGAAAAGAGCTATTCATCTTCAACCGTAGCTCTGATACCACTTTGTTGAAAATGGGAAGCTGAGAGAAAGGAACACAAGAGAATACTTAGAATACTCTTTGATATTTTTATGGCTTGGCTATTTTTTTCAAATGATTCAAACGCAAGCCCTTTTATAGGTACATAAAGACCCTTAGTACATTGTATGCATTTATTAAGACCTCATAAAACTCCTAGAACTTTGTAGTACATGAATCTTGAAAATATAATGGACTAATTAAATGCATGACACATACATGAACCAAATTAATGCACCTAGGAAGAAGTACATGGATAATACCAACCTTAGAATAATGCACCTAGATTCATGAATCAAGTTTAATTTTCAACGGAAAGGGCATGTAGATGTGTTGGAACGCTTGGTTCGAGCGAGACCTGATGCAGCCCGTAACATCGTTGAACATGGCCAGACGATCCTCCATTTATGCGTGAAGCACAACAAACTGGAAGCTTTGAAGTTTTTGATAGATATCTTGGGCGATGATCGGTTCATCAACTCGAGGGACGAAGATGGTAACACGATTTTTACATTTGGCTGCTGTAGATAGACAAACTGAGGCATGTTCATACAACCAAGCCTCTGCACTAT